ACCGCAAATGATTACCACTGAAGCATTTGCAAACACCTTCATCGTATCACATAATTACTACTATTTCTTTTTTCTGGTGAGAGCATTTAAGATCTACTTTCTTAGCAACTTTCAAGTATATAATACAGTATTATTAGCTGTAACCACAATGCTGTGTGTAAGATACCCAGAACTTTTTCATCTTCTAACTGGAACTTTATCCAACAACTCCTCATTTCCCTCACTCCCCACCCTTTGCCCCTCCTACCCATCATTTTACAAGAAACTTTTGAAAAACAGAAAGGAAATGCACAATCAGAATTAAATAGATTCATGAAAAGAATTCTGGCAGCAGTAGACTTAAAACCAGAGTCAGCCTACTGAATGTCACACGCATGTCATTTGCTTAAGAAAACATGAAGGTAGACATCATATTTATATGGCACTTGCCCTCCAGAATTAGTTTATTTTGCTACCTCATTCAAACATGTGGAAGGAAAGAAAGCTTGTCTAGAAAGGAAAGCTTGTCTAGAATGACTACATAAATTAGGTTTGATGAAATGACTTGACTGTAGTCCACTTACCCTCAAGTGGTTGTTTTTTTCTAATCCCTGCATCAGAATCTTTTTACTTCTACATGTCATAAATGACATAGAATTAAAATTAAAGATAAAAATTTGGGGAGGCAGCCACTAGCTGTCACGTTTTTCTAATCTTTCTCTGATGTGTGACATATTACAATTACTCTCCCATTCAAATCTATAGGTTCAGGTGTGTGTGTGGGGGAGGTGTTGTGTGTGTGTATCAGTGAAAGCACTCAGAAAGGATAATTAAATTCAGGATGGAGGGTTAACAATATGATAAAGGACAACTGCCAAAATATTGAAGCGATAAGCCAAGGAGAAGTATCAACTAGGAAATATTTTTGATATATACTCTGATTTTCTAGATTCTGGATGTCAGAACTTATGTTTCTTTGAGGTGCATCCATATGAGAGTTTTGATGTAGACTATTTGGAGATTATCTTGGAAACTAGAGGTCAGAGAGCAGAATTAAACCAGAGCTTAATTCTTAACATGATAAGGTATAAAACATTGTAGTGAAAAGAAATGTTCCCCAAGAGGGGTAAGCATGCTGGTTGGTTTATAAGGTACGTGGTTGAACAATTTTTATTTCCAATAGCTTAACGAACGCACAGTAATTCTGTTTATTTTAACATGTATTTAACTATGATTTCTGTACATTATTTAACCATATAATGTGTATATTATTTAACCATACAAACCATGATTTCATGTATATTATTGCTTAGGATAGTAGTGATAGTAAGTTTCCTCAAAATTATTCAAGTACAAGAAATGTCAGCTGAATGGAAAAATATTCAGTAAAAATGTATGGGTGACACACAAATATGGCGAAAGTTGTGAAAGAGATTTATGAATGACTGGAAGGTTTGGGAAATGTTAGGTTAAAGAATTGAACATATTCTCTTAAACTAAACACTTGCTATCTGTTACTGTCTTATGGATGAAAGTGTCAAGGAAATAGAGTTGCATATGTACTATATATTTTTAGCGCATGAGATGTGTCTATCCTGAGCATCATCTTATTTCTGTGCTAAATCAACCATTATGTTTTGGACTGTGGGAAGAAGCTGTGTTTGTCCATGACTCGTGGAGGTGTATAATGTATCATGGAGTAACGTCTGTAGTGCACAATCTTTCACAACAGCACTATGCAAAGTAGAAAGATGAAACAGTCAACAATATACAATTGCACTAGGCCTAGTGACAGATAGCTTCACGGTGCCTGCAATAAACTAGTTTCCCATTCTTTGTGCTGTGGTCAAGCAACCTAATGGATGTTCTTTTTGCCGAGCTAAATGCAACATCTCACACCAGATTTATTGGCTTGGCAAAGTTGCAAGTTTTATTACGCAAAAGTTGAGAAAGAGCAAAGCCGAAGAGTGCTAAAAACAGTACACTTTGCTACTGTGTAGTATCTGTGTTTGGGGCTCAGGGTGTTTTATTTATAGATATCTATTAATACATAGCAAAAGATACAGAAAGAAACACAGAAAAATACCTTTATCAAATAGTTTCTAGTATTCAAATGTTACAACAAAAGCAAAAACAGCAGCAACAAACTGTTCTATTGGGGAAAAAGCCATCTTCTTTACTTATTCTCTCCCTTCCCTTTCCTCTCTGAGGAGGATGGTGGCTACAAAGAGCCTTTCCCTTCCTAGATCTTGGAGGGTTATGGATGGGGGGCTGTGGAGGGAGATGGGATCTCCAGTTTATAATTGTGTCCAGTTATTTTAACCTCTTCTTCTCCTACCTCCCTCTCTAACAATGCTTCAAGGGGAGGAGAGGTGGGAGCATCTATCTTGTAAAACTGGTTTGTTGGGGTTCCTTCTCCCTCCCCCTCTTACTTCTTGAAAAACTTTTTTTTTTTTTTCTGGGCAGCTATCTGGCAGTGCCATAGCCGCCTTCTGGGCTTGAAAGGGGCTTCCCCTTCCTTCTACAGTAGGAAAAAGGGGCTGTTGCAAGATGCAGAGATGGAGAGATGGACAGAGAAGGCAGATACCATCACTCCCCCATGACGCACAAAAAAAGAGAAATGGAAACACACACACACACACACACACACACACACACACACACACACACACACACACGCCTGTATGCATCTTGGAAACTTGGGATTGAGAGATGGGCCAAGATTGTGCCTGGAACGATGGGACCCTCCCAGGTCTGAAACCTTGTACCTTTACTTTAGCATAGTCCTGGGAGGCCTGGGTGAGCTGTTGGGGGCCAGATCATTGCCACACACTTTTTGTTTATAATTAAAATACATTCACAGGATGACAGATGAGAGGAGAGGAGGGAGGGCTGTGGGAAGGGCATGTGGACAGTTTCACTTTGCTTCACTTCTCCACCTGACTGTTGGGTGCTGATTTCAGCTGCCGGCACCTGCAAGGGCAGCCTTACCAAGGTGAGGGGTGGGGCTGTGGAGAGATGGGCTTCTCTGCTGGAGGGTAGCCCCGACTGGACCTAGGGAGACTGGGGAGGGTGAGGGCGGTCATTTCCCGGTAGGAGCTTAGGACAGGTTGGTCCTAACTGTGGCAAATGTTTTGTTAAAGTTGCCAAGAGGTTAAAAAAGAGGGTGTGTTGCGAGGATCCCCTGCTAAGACACATTTCCCATACCACCTTTCCCTTGCTGAGGGAAGCTTGGCTCCTGTGAATGTGACATCAGCTTTTCTCTGCTGTCCCTGAGGTCTGTTGAGGGAGAAGAGGTTGGGATATACTGGCCAGAGCTAAGAGGGGCAGAGCTGGCTTCCTGCTTGGTGCCACCCAGTCCTAGGGGGAGCTGTGCCTTCCCCAGCCCCCAAGGCTGGGCTGAGGTAGCATAGGGAGGAAGCAGGGGTCAAAGCAGCGGCCCCTGGGGGTTGGATGGAGGCTTTTCTGTTCATATGGGAGGGAGGGATTCTGCCTTCCTCTCATCTCCTGCTCTTCCTATGGTGGGGCACTTTTGGGGGACAGACTCTGACACTGCTATTGTTACTGTCTCCCTAGCTGGGGTGACTTCCAGGGAGATCCAGGAGTCTCAAGTGTGCTCAGGTCCACAGCTTTGGTGTTGGGATAAAATCTGTCCCTTTGATTCTAGAGGTGAAGGGCAAGCAGGGAAAAGGAAAACGAAACAGTTCATGGGATCCTCTTGAGTACTGGAAAAGATCCACATTTGAATCCTCTCCATTGCCCTCCTCCGTAGGGGAGGAAATTGGAGTAAGACAAGATGAAGAAATGGAGGAAGCATCTATTTGATGGAGTCCCGACATGCTTGATGTGAACTCATCTTTAACCTGTGCAAAGTTGCTCCAAATTATCTCACGAGCCTCACTCAGAACACTGTGAGAAATTTGGTGGAGCATGGGAATTCTGGGTGCCTCAGCTTTGTTACCTAAAAAATGAGGCTAGTTGAAAATACCAACGTCTTAACATTTATGTTTTGCTTTAAACATTGCAGTATGTTGTCACCTCATCAGTACCTGCCCTGTGGGTATCTCAGAGGGTACTTCAAGGTTAAATAGACAGGAAATGGCTTTGAAAATGTAAACATATTATTAAATATGAGGTATTATCTGATCTCTTATTCAGCATAGCCATTTCCTCCTTCCCAACACCACCCTCATTGGATATTCACCTAATCCTGTACAAGAACACCCTTTTACCCTAAATGAAGAAAGCAAACGAAAAACCCCAGTAAGGATGTCCCTGCGTAGAGGACATCCCCCCTTTCTTACGTTAAGCGCTTTTGCTTGCCCTTTCTTAGCTTCCACCTCAGATTGCCTTTCCTTCTGTTATTCAGAAGCCAAGACTTTTAGTTTTTGTCCTCAGAAAACATCAGCCCCTGTAGCTCTTTGTCTCCTCCTGGCGTTCCTCTCCCGCTATTTCTTGAGATTGGTGCTATTGAGCTTGGGGCGTTCTCGGCAAGGGAAGAAGGGTGGTACAACACCCCCCACGCCCGGGAGCGGGGAGGGGACGGCTTCTAATCAGTATTAAGCATGTGCCTGAAAGGGTCCTTTTTTTTTTTTTTTTTTTTTTTTTTTAAATACTCTCCCTCACCGTTTTTTTTTTTTTTTTTTTTTTTACCGTGGAAGCAAAGAACTTCAGCAAAAAAGACTTAGGGAAGGGGGCTTGAAGTAAGAGAAAAGTACATTAATCTGCCAAAATAACTTGATTCCGACTAAGGGGGAAATGGAGGGAGAGCGTTCCCTTGTTTGATCGACACTAAGGAATCAGAGAGACATAAAAGGAAAATGAAGTGAACAACAATTTAAAAAAAATTCCCCGCACACAACAATACAATCTATTTAAACTGTAGCTCATACTTTTCATACCAATGGTATGACTTTTCTGGAGTCCTTCTGATTCTTGAACTCTGGGGCTGGCAGCTTGCAAAGGGGAAGCAGACTCCAGCGCTGCACGGGCAGGTTTACCAAAGGTCTCCAATGGGTATTTTCTTTTTCTTAGCCCTGCCCCTGAATTGTCAGACGGCGGGCGTCTGCCTCTGAAGTTAGCAGTGATTTCCTTTAGAGCCTGGCCTTATCTCCGGCTGCACGTTGCCTGTTGGTGACTAATAACACAATAACATTGTCTGGAGCTGGAATAAAGTCGGAGCTGTTTACCCCCACTCTATAGGGGTTCAATATAAAAAGCAGGCGGAGAGCTGTCCAAGTCAGACGCACTTCTGCATCTGCGCTGGGGCGACTGCCGCGAGGGTCCTCCGGGTCTCTGCTGCTGTCCCCGCACGCCACCGCCTCGTGCGTCTTCAGACCGCTCCCACCGCTATCTCTCCTGGCAGAAACTTCTTTTTCTCCCCATTAAAGAACATTTAGACTGAAAGATCACTTTGAGATCAGCATAACCAGAAGCGCTTTGAGGGAACTGAAGCTGCCTTTCTTCTTCTTCCTTCGGGTTTAGTTTGCAGGGGAGGAATTTTGATCCCTTTTTCAGAATGGATTATTTCCCCATGATTTTCTCTCTGCTGTTTGTGGCTTTCCAAGGAGCTCCAGAAACAGGTAGGCACGTTGATTTATAAATATATGAATGTTAATGTCTTCTTAGCCACCTTAATGCTTTTCTTGCTTCTGTTTTTCTCCTGCTTTTTACTGCTGCAGCTCAGATATCTAGTGTCTGCGAATTATTGCTCAAAGCTACTTAAGTTTTATAGCGGGGAAAAAAAAATTCCTCTATGGAAAACAATTACTCCTATAGCATTAAAATAACACTATTGTTATTGTATAGTGTATTTCCTTGGCTTTTAACAATATAACTTAAGAAACATAAAGCCAAAATGAATTTAGCCAAATGTATATCTGCAATGTAAGTTTTCATACAGGTAATAGGATGTATAGGAACGTATATCTTATTCAAATACTATTTTAATAGTGCGTTAATATGTAAAATATTTAAACATTTCAGCTTGAAGACAAGGAATTTTATTCAAGTCATTCAAGCAATATTCAAGCAGTAAAATCACCTGCAGAACAGTCTGTTGAATAACCCCCGCAGGCGGTTTCAGGGTGAAGCAGATGTTTTCTTTAAAATTTGTCATTATTGACTTTAGGTTTCTTTTGGCAGATTTTTGGCATCCAAAACAATATGAGCTCTATTTTCAGTTTTATTCACCTGTCTTGGGAGGGGAGCTGGGATAAATCTTGGCTGCTTAAGGATTTAGATAGGACATGTGCATCTGCCTGGTTCTCCCTTCTAGGGTCAACGCACTTTTTTTGTCTTTTCATGACCCTGACTAAAGAGAAAGGATGTCAAGGGAATGAAAATCCTGGAATGTGTCTGATCATTTGAAATGTACAAAATTGGGCAGATGAGCTGCATGGCTAACTTGTCAGGAAGAAGAGCCGGTGCAGCAGCACGGAGGGGGGAGGAGGCGACCCCACACGTGCCAGGCTGTGCGGGCGATTCTGAATTCAACATCCACAGAATGTTGACTAGGTCCCCTGAGCTTCTGCTCAGCTTCACCTTAGGTCAGTGGTTTCTGTGGAGCTGATGGCCTGGAATGAATATTGGAAAGCTGATTTCTCTTCTTTCCTTCCAGTCATCTCCCCAAAGCTCTTGACCTCTACCTAATTCCAAGGGGGTATATATCATCTGGGCTACTCCCTGCCCTACACAAAGTGTGAAGTGGTGGGTACTCTCCTAAATGGAAAGACATCTTACGTGGGGAAGTGGCTCTGAACCTAGGAAGAGGCGATGTGATTAACTTAATTTTAGATTTTTTTGGTCCTCAGCCAATTTTTAGCCACTAAAAGTTGTGCTGCCCTACTGAGTTCCATGCAGAAGGTGACCTAGATTCTAATAGGCAACACTTCCAAGCATTTTCTTGAGGGCTGCCTCAAGGGGGCTGGTAAGTCCCTCTCCAGGTGGTTGTTTCCTCTGCTCTTGTGTAATCTCTCTGAAGCTGATAAGGCAGTGGGGGTAAAGGTGAAGTCATGTTAAGGAGAAACAAAGTAAAGAGCCCTTTTCCTCCGTGTTTCTTGCTGAAGGCAGGCTGTATGCTTCCTCTGCTTTTATTTGGTCTGCTACATCCAATGTCAATCCTGTGATCCAATGTACCTCTGGCTTCTGAGGAGACATCCCCACTGACCTGCTCTTTCTCTCCCCAGCTGTTTTGGGTGCCGAGCTCAGCACCGGGGCCAATGATGGAGGAGAGAAGCCCTTCCCCAGTGCCCCCTGGCGGCCCCGCCGCTGCTCCAAGCGCTGCTCTTGCTCTTCCTTGATGGATAAAGAGTGTGTCTACTTTTGCCACCTGGACATCATCTGGGTCAACACTCCCGAGTGAGTCTCTAGAGGGCATTGTAACTCTAGTCATTCCTTAGCTCTGGCTTCACCAGAGACCGGACCCCAGTAACTCTGGTTACTTTTCAGGGAAGCCCCTCATTTGGATTCTGGAAGTAGCATTTCTGCCAACAGGGTAGTGCCTCATTGGGTGGGGACAGTGTCCTTCCATTCCTGAAAAGAACAAGACAGCTTGGTTCTTAGCAACAGAAGAAAGGGTCTTCTGAGACACTGTGGGTCAGACTATTCATGCCAAGGTAGATGGAAAGAGCTGATGGCAAGTGGCTGCCACACATTTTGAGGATAAAATTTAAGTGTGAGGCCTTGGGGGAATGTTTTCTCAGTGGGATCTGTCCCCGTTTAGGGAATAAGTTGCCGAGATCATTTGGCTTCTGATGGGAGGGTAGAGACTTAAGAGGCAGAAGGGATTATAAATTTATAATCCAATCCCTTCATTTTACTTATAGAAAAACTAAGACCCAAAAGGTTGAAGTCACTTGTGTGGGTATGGGCTGTGGCAATGCTAAACCTCGAACCTGGATGTGCTGAGTCTTCTGTACTTTTCCTTTAGAAAAGCCCATCTCAGGACAGCAATAGAAACACAGTCCGTAGACTTCCTTTCTGCCTCCAAAGTGAAGAAAGCACTTTCTCCCTCTCTGCCCTGAAAACTAGTTCACCCATCAGCAGTCATAAACAAAAACTTGTTTATTGTGCCTGCAGTTTCCCAGTATGGCGAGGGATGACCAAAATCCAAACAAAATAAAATCAAATCAAACAAAAGCCACCACGAGCCTAATACTTAGTAAGGTGACTCTTCCAAGGGGAGAACTTTGTTTCTTAGGTGGGAATCAAAACAGACACATTGGAAGTTCCTGGAGAGCATTCTGGCAACAAGTCCTTCTGTAGTCATATTACCAAACTGCAGGAGACACGCAAACATGGGCATAGTAGGTCTTCTTCCGCCCCCTCAGAGGGCACTTCTAGTATTATCGTATGACTCGAATTGAGAATAGGTGTTCCAAATCTTGTAGGTTATGATTTTGCATGGTTTTGAAGTCCCTCTTTTCCCTTTCCCCATAGCTGTTAACTAAATAGAATGTTAGAAAAGGAAAAAATATGAAACAGTCACCAAAACAGAGATGTCATGATTTGGTATAAAAAACAATGCTGCTAGTGTCAAGAGAAGAAATTGAACTTAGTTAAGAGTGGAAATGGAATTTCATTGAATTGGAGAAACTGGTTTCTCCTGGTCGGGTACTCAGGGCCATTGACAGGCATGTGATCCTGACTCTACTCTCCTAAGTTTCTCTACCAGACACCCTGTGGTGAGCTCCTGGAGTCCAAATGGAATAAGTGTGCCCCATAGAATGTATCATTTTGATGACTGTTGATTATGCTAATATATTTTATTCCTTTCTTTTGATAATAGGCACATTGTTCCATATGGACTTGGAAGCCCTTCTAGGTCCAAGCGATCCTTAAAGGATTTATTTCCTACAAAAACAACAGACCACAGGAATAGATGCCAATGTGCTAGCCAAAAAGACAAGAAGTGCTGGAAGTTTTGCCAAGCAGGAAAAGAACTCAGGTGAGTAGAAACACCATTGCTTTCGAAAAGTTTTGTGGCCTCCTGATCTTCTTCCTATTATAATGCTGCTAATAAGAGGCACAAACTTCCACTTATAAGATAAATAAGCCATAGGGATGTATTGTATAGCACAGGGAATATATCAATAATGTCATAATAACTCTGCATATTGACAGACGAATACCAGACTTATCGTGGTGATTACATCATAAGATATATAAATATTGACTTACTATGTCGTACATCCGAAACTAATATAATATTGTATGCCAACTACACTTTAATATTTTTTAAAAGAGATTAACAGAGATATTGAGAGCAACTGAAGATACCATTTCTGAAATGTTTTTTCCCATGCATATTTTAACAGGGACCAAGACACTGTGGAGAAAGGCTGGAATGACCATAAGAAAGGAAAAGACTGTTCTAAGTTTGGAAGGAAGTGTATTCATCAGCAGCTGGTAGAAGGAAGAAAAATAAGAAGGTAAGAGGCCCACAAGAACGTCGAGCCCCCATCACCGACGCTAATAGTTTGCTCTCCCCAGTCATTCTCGAGATCTTCATATTCTATAGATTAAAAAGAGCAAAGGAATCCCTGCCAAATACTTTTTTGAAGACCTTAAATGCAGAGTGCTGCCCACTTTGGTGATCTTTAGCACATATTCTCAGTACGAAGGGAGATTTTTCACAAACAATATATATTTAGAGACACCGTTGTCATTTGCTCATATCCAGTCTTTGCCCCTCTGAGTTAACATATTTACCACTTTCCCTGAGAAATTAAAAATCATTTCAGGGAGAAGTCTTTTTTTTTTTTTTTTTTTTTTTTTGAATCAAAGTGTCATGTTTGATCAAGTTCTTCAAAATGTAGTAGTTATTCAAATGGCCAAAGGGAAAATAAAGTCATTAGGTAGGGTTGGTGAGAGTTAGAACATGCTGTTTTTTGGGTTTATTTATTTATTTCAAATAGAGAAGTGCATTTGGTGGAGAGCCAATGCCATTCCCAAAAGCTCTATTGTTATCTAGTTAGTCATGAGCTGGGGCAGAGAAGGGGTCTGGATTAGGCAATACCATAGGGTTGCTTTGAGCAGCTCCACAGTGATGACCCTTCCCAGTCCTAAGCATTTTGGAATTCACGACCTAGAGGGAGGAAGCCTGCTGTCAGCTTTGTTATATGTTCTACTTTTCCCTATCTTGGTCTGTGGAAACTTTTCCTAGAAATTCAGTGGCAAGAAGTTTTATAATCTAAATATTCTGTGTACAGGCCTGGCCTTCACGAACAACTTCTGAGTTGTTTACCACTAAAGTGTGGGACATCCTCAGCTGGCTGTGGCATCATACCTGCCATTGCAATTTCCATATTTATGATCTCAGGCCACTGATGCTCCCCCAGATTTCAAGATTACATAAATCACAAGTTTTGAACTGACTTGGAATATTTTTTCCCTACTAGTTTCTGTTATAGCAACTATTAAATCAGTTACAGTTCTTCCCTCTTTCTCCTGCAAAAAGAAAACATTAAACCTGCAAAAAAAAAAAAAAAGTTTTTTTTTTTTTTTTTTCAATTGCCATACAACATTTGCTTTGGGCCAATGCATACACCTCCTCTCTTTTATTTCTTTCCTAGTAAGGTGGTGGGGGTGGGATGGGGCTACAGAAGAAAAGAAAATATATCTAGTTTGCATTAAAATTGTACTTTAAAATTGTATTTAATGACCAATTCCCTTTAAATATTACCATATCACCCTTCTTCTCAGCCCTCCCCATTCTAGGTATAAAAAACAGGCTTCATTTTCACTTGAGGTTAGCAAAGGGTAGCACACTATTGCTGTTGGCGGTGAAAGTTTAGGAACCAGACTTAGATTTGTTTGTGCCAGACTCTAATTTTAGATGTTTCTTTTGCCCAGGAGTGATATTTTAAAAAAATAACATTTGTTTTCTCTTGTCTCGTTTTAATAGGTTGGAGGCCATCAGCAACAGCATCAAAACATCTTTTCGTATTGCAAAGCCGAAAACTGAACTCTACAGAGAGAAGAAAGTGAACCACAACCGAACACACTGATTACAGACCGTCCGGTCTGAAGCCATCTCCTCCGCAGAGAGAGCTGTGCTGTGCGGCTGACTGCACTCTCTCCACACTGGCTGGGATCAGAGCAAAAGCATCCTTCTTGCTTAGACTATTTCTTGTTCCAGACTGGCAAAGGACCAGCATCCTCCTCCTAAACATTCCAAGAACGATTAAGGAGTCCCCCAACCCTTTTTCATTTGCTTTCATCAGTGGTAACTGCTTTCCTCTCTCCTCCTTTGGGGTGACAATGGACCACTCAGAGAAAGCAGAGAGACACAATGACTTGCAAATTATGGTGGCATCCTTCACAGGGAGGAGAGGAGACTCCACGTGCTGCAGGTGGGGTTCCTGAAGAGGGTATGAAGGGAGTCTTTGTGTCTCACTCAGGCGCCTGGCACATTTCAGGGAGAAATTGTAAAGTCCATGCTAAGGTTTGCTAAGGAATGCACAAATTGAAAACATACTCTAGTAAAAGAAAAAAAGACTTTTTAAAAAAAATTCATAAATGCAAAACTGAAACTGTTACTACTGTAAATCGGGATATGTTTCATAAATATGAGTCTACCTCACCTGTATTGCACTCTGACAGAAGTATTTCCCCACCTTTAATTATTTGCCTCCCAAATTCTTCTCTTTCCTATTATCCCCTCCCCTGAAACCTCCATACTAAATCCTAGCCTCATTGAAATCTGGTCTAAAATGTCAGTAGTAGATATAACATTTTCATGGTAATCTACTAGCTCTGATCCATAAGAAAAGAAGATAATTGAATCAAGAGATTCCCTTACCTTGATTTTTTGGAAACACAATGGTATGGGGTTGTTTATGAAAGACATTGAAGAGTAAATGTTGGTTATGCTTTAAAGCAGTAAAATTACTGTTCTTTATATAACTGGCGAATGGAAGAGGTTGGATTAAATTTTGATGTACTTATTTTTTTATAGATATTTATATTCAATTTATTCCTTATATTTACCATGTTGAATATATGTCTGGGCAGGCCATATTGGTCTATGTATTTTTTAAAATGTATTTCTGAATGAAATTGAGAAAATGCTTTGTTTTGCCTGTCAAGGTAATAACTTTAGAAAATAAATATTTTTTTCCCTACTATACTGATTTTGAATCATTTCTGAAATTCTTAAGAAGTGGGCCAATGGTAAGAATTATGAAGGGGAAAGATGATTAAAGATGGTTTCTTAGAAAGGTGACAATCAGAAGGAGACTAGTTTTTGCTAATTAGAAATAGACTTTGATCTATACCTTAAAATTTGCCTTTAGATTTCATTAAGGTAAAAACAAAATCAAAACCAGCTTTAACCCCTCTTTCTTTCCTTGCATAGCAGCCTTCTGTTTCCTCTTCACCTAAAAACTCTCCAGGGACTTCATCCATTAGCTTTGCTTAGGCTATTATACAGTCTCCAACAGTTTAAGTGGATGGTGTGGTGAGAGGTGCTTTCTCCATATTAATTGACTGAAGGAAGCAATGGCAAAGCAACCTTCCAAAATATGCCCAATTGTACACAGTTCCATACCAGAGTAGCTTTGAGAAAACACCCTGCTCAGAGCAAGTTAAAGGCCTCTAATGGCTTTTCATTTGCTCTGATTAAGAATTTTGTTTATTCAGGGGCACTGAATACCTTCAGTCCTTCATGGTAGCCCAGGACTGGACACATGCCCGTGGAGGTAGAGGTACTAAATGCTGATTCTGAGTGTCCTGCGTCACAGCACTGCCCTCCTCTCTGCTTTGCTTTGCTGGCCTTGCTGAATCATTGGGGAGAGCAGAATTATAAATGGTTGTTACCAACAGAAGCCCATAAGAGCTTGATCAGCTTCTGAGAATCTTCACCACTCTTCTTTAATGGTGTTTGAAAGAATGTCTGGCATTCAACAAATATTAGCTCACAGTGATCACTGCTGTCCAAACAGTGACACGTCTGAAAGATGTTAAATAACAGCCTTCAGGTGTGCTTCGTCAGTGTCCTGGGCAGAGTTTCTATCTTTACTGGCATTGTTTTTCATCTTTCACTTTTTTTTTTCTTTTAAAGGACAGTCCAGCATCTTTGGGTAATTACTTATAAAGCTCACTTTATCTAGCAAACTGTTTCTCAGTGTGCAGCTCTCAAGGGGTCTAAGAAGTTTTGCCCACAATGACAAGTGGCTTACATTTAGCCACTTTTCAATCTTTAGCGACCATTCAATCTCCCTGCATCGTGAGTTTCCTCATCTGTTAAGGGGCTGCGTGGGAGGGGGAGGAGGGAGGAGGCATTTCTCTATATTCATCAAGAAAGACCCTGAGATCGCATGAAGAAGTTGCTGTGGCTCGGAAGAGTGAAGGGCTAAGTTTGGAGGATGTGGGTCTAATACATTTAAGAGGGAGTTGGGATGGGAAGAAGTCTCTGAGTAAAAAGAATAACAAAGCAAACAAGGATAAAATTGTCTTCCTCGTCTTCTTTTTTTTTTTTTTTTGGATAATTTGCACCTTTAAATCCTCTTTCCCCATGCTTCCTGCTTCATGCTTGAATAACTGGAAAGAAAGTAAAGCCCACTTTCCTGGAGCAAGAGAGTCAGTAGTAAAATAAGCTGGAAGATTCATAGGAAATGAATATTTTTCAAGTGTGTACAGGTAAGATTCAATAGTATTCAAAGCCCAAGCCAGCTTGAGGGGTGGAAAGATAGGATGGTGTGCCACACTTCCCATAATCTTTTTTCTAGAAAAAGCGTTGTTTTGGCAATCTCATTTACGACAGATTTTTCTCTTCACACTAATGGCCTGGCAAAGCTTTGATCTCAGGACTCCAAGGACCAGAGGATCCTGGATAGGGAGTGGTGACTTTTGGTGGAAGGAAAGGAGTCCACACTTGGATACATCATTTTTTCCCCCTCCAGGGAATGGCTTCTTTTGTGATGGAAACCATTGGCTTTAATTTAGCCTGTGCTTCCTGAAATCCTCAGATTTTATGTACTAAGTAGAGTTCTCAGTACTCAAGGAATTACGCTAAGCCAGAGCTCCCTTAGGAAGGTCCTTGGTAACCTTAAGAAAGAGCAATCTTTTGTCTTTCCAGGTGAGAAAGCCAAAGCCCAGAGAGGGAAGTGACCTACCTAAGGTAACACAGCAGGCATCTCTGAGCCTGAAGACAGATGTTTCACCCAGAGGCACCTGGAGGTCAGTGGAGACAGACATCCTTAATAGAGGATTCAGGGTGGTAAAGGCAAAATCATTCTTTCTGAAAACTTTGCCTTCCAGCTTCACAGATCATAGTTGCCAGATCCAGCCTCATAGGATGAAAGGGAAGAAAGGCAGGGGAAGAAAATAAGGGATATAAAGAGGCATACAAATCTCATGGCATCATGCAGTAAATTTTTATAGGATGAAATGGAAAATAGCCAGGAACTTTTAATTATTAAGCTATTTTAGAGTTTAATTACCAAATAATCTTTAGACTATATGACTGAAGAGGAATTCTCTTGGTTCGTTCATTTACTCTATAGTGCAAGGCAGTGTTTTTTAATTCTGCGTCTAAAGTCTTAAAAAATGCTTATTTTTAAGCCCAAGTTTGCAACATGTAAAACATTGTTTTCAGGCCCATGTTCTCAATGGAGTTCTTTCTACCTTGGCTTCCTTTCACCTTTGCACTCACAGTTCTGGGGTCCTAGGTCTGGAACTTAGGATATATCTACTGCAAATAAATGCTGTTGTCCTCATAATCTTATGATTTAACAGCAGCCCCTCACCTTTGTAGATAACTACATTTCCCATAGCCTTTTCACATGCCTTCTCTCATTTGACCCTTTCTCCCAATAATCTTTTTGGGATGTTGGGGCCATAATTTTATACCCATTGGACAGCTGAGGAAAACAAATGTACTGAATGAGTAAGTGACTTGTCCAGACTCCTCCATCAGGCAAATAGCACTACTGGAACTCAGGACTCCTGATCCTTTCCCTTAAACTGCCCCAGAACAGAGAGGACAGCACTGGCCTCGAAACTTGGATAAATGTAGATTATTTCCATTTTCCAGTGAGCTATGAGTGGAATTAACTTTTTATTACTCTCTCAGGATTATCAATGATCCATATGTGCTTTAAGCCTTAGACACGAATATTTCTTCCAGTTGTACAGTATGTGTTTTCTCCAACATCTTTACTATGCCAACATGTGGTTGGCAGAAAAGTCACTATTTACAAGGCCTACCTCCAAATCTGGCACCATGGAGTGCTTCATTGACAACTACCAGCAATAGATCCAACACAGGGGAGGAAATTGTAGTGACAAATGTGATGGCTGAGGCCCTCTGGAGAATAATCAGAGAAAGATCTAGGGCTGGGGCCATTGGGTAATCAAGAGAGAAGGGCCCAGGCCTTGGGGACACTGAAAGATGGAAATATGGGTTTCCAAGCAAGACTGCTCGCAGCTCTGAGAGCAGCAGCACATCAGGAATCTGACATGCAATTTTGCTGGTTTGGAGTCTTTTTGTGTTTCTGTATTTTTTTTTTTTTCTGTATCTTTTTTTCGTATTCTGAGTCATTCCAGGCCTCCGCTCTAAACTGCTATGGAAGTATCCAGGGATGAAATTTGTAATATTAAGCTACTGCTGGCATGGCACGGGCACAAACCAATTGGAATAGACAGGAACAGAGACATGGGACAGGTTCCTGGTGGCCCCCGGCTGGGCCAGATGTTAAACCTCCAGGCACAACGTTAGATTAGGGAAGGTCCAGTAGTCCGGGAAAGGGGTTGGCAGCCACTGTAGAATTTCTAGTCTTCTTGTCGCTATGGCTATTTACTAAAGAGAACAAAAGTATTTCGATATTTTCAAAACTGAAATAGTCTCACTGATATATGCCCCTGTGTATGTCAGACTTGGAATCATCAAAACTCTTTTTCACTTAGTAAATTATTATCCTCTTTACATTTTCACTGAGTGGGATCACATTGTCTCCATGCCTGAGGAAGTTTAACACCAAATCTTTAAGTTCATGTACCTTTGTCGTCCTGCTACGTTGTCATCCCTCCACATTGTTCTTCTCACTCTCCATGTTCCCCTCGCTCATGCTTGATCTCCTTTGGTAGAAGTGGAACTATCCGAAGGTATTCTTTGTCTTCTTGGAAGTTTTTAGCAAAGCAATTTTGTGGTCGCCAAATCTGATGTTTGCCTTAGACCAGGACTTGCTAGTGTCCCAGATCTGTTCCCGGATTGTCATAAAAAATAAATTGCTTGTAAGGTTGGGTCTTAACCTCTTAGGTCAACTCTGAATGGTGAAAAGGTGGCCAGATTATTTATTATTAAAACTGGGACACCTTTGATAGTGCTTGGTGAGTACCTTACAATTAGCATAGGGCCACGGTCTGTCATGGGCAAACTGGGACATATTATCACCCTTGAACAGTATAAGCCTTGAAGCAGATTAGAATTTCAGAACCACCTTGGTCTCTTAGAGATAACCTGAACATGGGCCCATTGAGTTTAAGCAGACTCAATGTTTATATCTCTTTGTCTGCAGACCAGGCTAAGGCAGAAGATATTCGCCTTCTTGAGTGCCTCTGGCATTGAGGAGAAATGTAAAACTTGGCATGTCCAAGTTTTGAACACAGAGCTTTAGATATAATAGGTCAATGAGTTAATAGATATGCAGACGAGTTTCAGAGTTCTGTAAGTCAGAGGTGAGGGTGATAATTCCCGGGCCAGAATGAGACTAGACCACAGAAGGTTTATAAGATTCACTTAAAGGGGTCTCTTTGGAGAGTTTGTGTAGCTGAAATATTTCTTCAGACTCCACCCTGGTGGTAATTATTTGTCACAATGAGGTGGTTCTCTTTATTTCTCTTTACTCCAATCCATCCTGCATATCACCACATAATAATAATCTTCCCCAAATGCTTCAATCATAATTTCAGTGAATGCAGAGGTAGAAAGAACTTAAAAACAATTCATTATCTCCCCATCTCAAAACTATCTTTCATTGACATTCTCTGCTTATAAAAAAAAGAATATTGTCTACTGAGACAAGGCATATTAGAGAAGGACTAGATTGAAAAGAAAGGCTGGAAAGTATTATAATTTTACTGTTGGACATGCTGAGTTTTACATTTTTAATATGAATATCTTCAAAC